GGTGTATGCGCGGCGATACTCATCCAGAAAGGCGGGGTGGATGGTGGGAGCTGAGATAGCAAATAGCTGACGATCCTCGCACTGAAGGTCGGGGCGGCGGGATAAGGCATCTGCAACACGATTGCTTTCGCCAGAAATCTTCTTGATGGTGAAGTCGAACTCCGAGAGGTCACGCCACCAACGAGCCTGGCGAGAAGTGAGCTTAGGCTTCGTCTGGAAGGCGGCGAGGACAAAGTTGTCCGTCAAAACGGTGAAAGTATGACCGTGCAAATGATGACGCCACTTCTTAACAGCGTAGACCAGCGCAAGGACCTCACACTCATCGGCAGTGTAGTTACGCTCATCGGGAAGTAGCTGTCGAGATAGATAAGCAACCGGACACTCTCCATCGCGAGACTCGACTGTACCGTCATCAGCGACGTCAGGAATATAAGGGGGTGGGGCCCCTGGGGGGTTGGGCTCGATGGGTGCAAGATGAACCGCAGTCGCTGGAGGTGGAGGAGGGAAGCGAGGAATGCGAGGGAGGCGAGACTCTGTGGAATCGGGAGAAGTAGAGGGGGGTGGATAGATCTGGGAGAGAACAGCTCCAATAGCGAAGTCAGATGCGTCGGTGGTGACGATGAATGGACGCGAGTAGTCGGGTAAGTGTAAGACAGGAGCTGATGTGACAAGCCGCTTGAGAGAGCGGAAAGCATCCTCGTGAGCCGGGGTCCAATGAAAAGGTAGACGTCTGCGGGTCAGGGGGGTAAGCTGGGAAGAATACTGCGCGTAGTTTTTAAGAAAATGACCATAGTAGTTGGTCAACGCAAGGAAACTACGCAGCGCAGGAAGAGAGGTAGGAGTGGGCCAGTAGACAATGGCCTGAATCTTCGAGTCGTCCATGTGGAGTCTGTGCTCGGAGACCTGATGCCCAAGGAAGTCGACTTTGGGTTGAGCGAAGTGGCATTTGGAGAGCTTCGCATAAAACCCATGGTCGCGTAATCGCTGGAGGACAGTGCGGAGGTGGGTCAGACGCTCCTCTAAGGTACGACTGTAGACCAGGATGTCGTCGATGTAGACTAGAACCGAGTCCTCAAGAAGGTCTTGGAACATCGTGTTCATAGCCGTTTGGAAGGTGGCAGGGGCATTACGGAGACCGAAAGGCATGACGGTAAACTCGTAGTGCCCAAAACGAGAACAGAAAGCGGTCATAGGCTGGTCCTCCTCGGCTACACGGATCCGGTGATATCTACGAAGATCGATCTTCGTGAAGAAGTGGTGGCCTGAGAGGCGGTTGAACAGATCATCTGCACGAGGCATAGGGTAACTGTTTCTGACCGTATACTCGTTGAGACCGCGGTAATCGAGGCAGAGGCGGAGAGTGCCATCCTTCTTGCGATCGAAGAGGACAGGTGCACTCCATGGGGAGGTACTCGGTTTAATGAAGCCCTGACGAAGTAGCTCGTCAATTTGGCGTTTAAGTTCCTGGGCTTCGGGGACCGAGAGGCGATATGGGGCGCGATGCTGAATACGGTAGTTAGGTTCGAGCCGGATGTGGTGCTCGATATCGCGCATAGGAGGAATGTTGCTATAAGAGACGGTCGGAGGAAAAACATCGCGATACTCGCGAAGGAGGGCCGCAACGCTAGGCTGCAAAGTCRATAGGAGGTTGTCAAACTCSTCGGMTGCAGCGGYGTCTRAAGCAGGGGTGGAAGGAGTCGGTATGGGAATAGGTACCGATGGCGCCTCCGTGGAACAAGATGCAAGAAGGTGAGATGAGGTAGCAGGGGTGGAGGGGGTTGAGGGGGTTGAAGGATCAGGAGGCTCGGGAGGCT